TCTTCCCTCCATATCCTGTTGTTTTTTGGATGACATTTTGCACTAATGAATTTACCAGCTCCTGGTTTAGTTACAAATAAATTTTAAAAAGTCCTGACTTGGTAAAACTTGAGAATAATTAGTATTCTGTTGTTGTTGAAGTGAAACCAATTGATTGTGTAGTTTATCTGATTAAGTATTTCTGTGTGAACCTAATGCATGGCTGTAGTCTGTATTATATCTAACGCAAGTCAAAGAAAATGAGTCCATACAAGCCCTACTCAAGACTGTGAAGCAGAATGGATCAACTGTAGGAAAAAACTCCTTGCTCCTTTCTTAGCCAGCTTGTTCATGCTACAGGCAATTAGAATATTTCAGGCATAACATATCATACATACATTGAGCTCTCACCTGAGTATAGAGAAAAATGTCCTAATGGGCAAAAGGTAAGGAATGTCATTTCACCAAAACTGGACGGTTCCAGAAAGTGCTGCCTCTGTGCTGTACAGGACATCTTTACTGGGTCAGTAATAGCTGTTAACATATCTTTTATACAGTGCAGTGAATAGCTCAGGAATTATTAATCCAGTCCATTCCTTACTGCACTGGTAAACAATGCCATGACCTTCTATCGCTGAAAGATGACTTTAAAAAGTAACTTCAAACTTAACTCCTTCATAAGTAAAGTATTTACATTTTTTAATGACCATGACTACTTTAATATCAAAACTAAGTTCCTATACAGAAGTATTAGCAATAATATCAACAATTTAGAGCAGAACCATTGTGAAAGGACATTCTGAGTTTTTTTCTAGTTAAAGGATTTTCAACAAGAATACCTAATTCTGCTGTCGCATATTTGTTAGTATTGAGGAATTTATTGATCTCTCTCTTTTAGAGACTGCAGGTTAAGCTTCAGTTTTTCAAAATCTTGAAATAATCCCCCTTTTCATCAGGGCTTTTTTCAGAACCTAGACCCAGGAATGCGTTCTTCCCATATACTGGTTTTATATCTTTAATTAGGTTTGGTCAATATGGATCAAAATGAAACCATAAACTCTTTTCTTAAATACCAAAAATTATTTTCAGCTTTTGCAGAATAAGAACTCATCTGTGAACCCATAGCTGTACATACAGTAGAACTTAGGCCTTGTCCTTTAACTAAGTGCAATATACTTTCTGAAGAATATATAAAGGTCATGTTTATTTTAAGGTTTTGCTTTGGAAGCTAGTACTTTAATAGCAACTCGCATCACTTAAGACAAGTTTAATTAAGCCCCTCTAATAGGAATTTATTATTTGTACTCAGAGTATTACCTACAATACACCCCATAAGTATCATGCCAATTACTGACATGCAACTTAAGTAACTTTCTGCAAGAGTTTATCTATTAACAACAAAAGTGCCTCATGACTTGAAGACATCACAGAGAAAAAAGACCCAAATGCACTTTCACCTTCCTCAATTTGTAAAGATTTTTTTCTTCTTTGCTGTAGTCACTTAAGAAAGCAATATTTTGAATCAGTTTATACCCTTATTCTTCACTTTCTTCTCAGGGTGATCAATCTTGCACAGTGCCAGGAGACATTTTGTAAAATACTGAGTGCCATTTTGAAGAAAAGGGTTTGAGGAGTTTTGGCATCTCTCAGGATCAAGCAATTTAATTCAACACCAAATGTCTACTTTTTAAAATAACAATATACAACTTAAGGATGAAAACATCACTTCATTTCTGAACCATGTTAGGAGTATAAAAGTTATCTACTATTTTCTTTACAAGAGAAAGAGTCAAAACTCATCATCAAACAGGATTTCCCTGAAGAACATCAGTCCTTGAGGAGCTCAGGAGTTCTACTAGGAAATAAAATTTACTCTGCTACCAACTTTACTGCTACCAGCTATGTGAAACTAGTTGTTCTGTGATACAAGAGTGAAATGGTTTTTTTAATTTTTTTTTTTTTTAACTAATGGGAAAAGGGATGCAATTGATGGAAAAATTTTAATAGTTATAATTTCTTTGGTAAAAAAAAGGATTGCATTTTCATCATCTAACTTTGTCACCATATGAAAAATATACAAAATTATTACAATAAAGATCTTTGAAGTCTTAAATGGTTGATGATGTTGGAAGACCTGAGAATGAGGCTTTTAGAATTTAACCTCTGTCCTATTTGAATTTGTGGAGAAAGATTCTTGACTCTACAGGCTTTTTAAAGTTAAAACTCATCAATTTTGGGGAGTGAATCTTTCGTATATCAGTGTAAATATTAGATCTTTGTCAAGATCTTTGCAGGTATGTTGAACTAAAAGATTAAATGAATGTGTAGATGATCCTGAACATTATATATATCCATGTGAGAAACAATGTTCAGTGTCTTTGTTTATTACAATATATGAAAAAGGGGCTTTGCTCCCTCTCTGGGATTTATCTGTGTATCAACTTCTCCCAATGTATAATTTCTAACTTACTTTTGAGCTTTAATATTTGGCAGCTGTGATGAGTGCTTCATCACACTAATACAGTCCACGGGACTGGTGCGTGCAGAAGTATTTTCTGACTCATTATTTCTACTATTAGCTTTCACAGTTAACAGTTCCCTTGATGCCAATTTATCTCTTGCACCCAAAGCACAGATTTCAGTGATATCCACACCACAATACCTATTAGTTTTGCCCAAAATCTTTGTTTCCACGTTGTGGGTTTGTAAGTTTAATTTTTATTCCATCTTAGGGATTTGTCCCCTGCTATGTAAAAGTCTCTTTGACCTTAAGGATAGCTTCTCAAATTCATTTTGCAATTTATTTTACTTGGAGAGCTGCCCACTAAGTAGTCCATTAGCCCAGATTGGCTCTGTTCTTTTCATCACTCTTTTATGGTTTAACTGTGCTTGTGTCTCACATATCTTAGAGACAGGACTTCGGGCAGGAAAGCACCCCCATTTCTCTGCAGATCAGAAGCTGGACCTGTCCATAGCACTGATACTGACAAAGATAAAGTTTCACTAGAACTTCAAGGTGTGGGAATTATTGAACAGAAGGTGAACAAATACCTCCAGCAATATAGATGCCATTATGCCATGTTACCTTTCCTATCCTCTGTTTTTAGTTTAGTTAAGCTTCACCCAAGCCGAACTTTTCAAGTCCCCTGTCAAGCACACTCTAAGAAAGTAAATTTGCTGCTCTGTATCTGTTGAAAGTAAAGCACGGAAATAAATACTACCGGTGTCCATTTCTTCCAGAAACCTGTGGAATAGTAAGGGGACCAAATAGAACCTAATTTTATTCCAAGTGAGAGATAAAAATTATTGTAGGCTTTACCTTAAAAACAAAACAAACAAAAACCCCAATAACAAACCAACCAAAAACCAACCAACCAACCAATAAAATCCCCAGTGATACAGAGTCTTACCAAAGGTCCATCTAGTCCAGCATCCTGCTCCTCCTGATGGTGGCCAAAAGCAGATACATAGGAAATAGCCAGAAAAGAGTAAGTATAGCATAAGATTATCTTTCCTTATGATAGTCTCCTAGCCTTCTATTCTTCTAATAGCTCATAATTCAGAGATTTTTTAAACCAGAGTTAGTGTTCTTTCTTGTAACACATATTTATTCCACTTCTTGTAGATCATTGGGAGTTCTGATTTATGAACTCTGTTGCCTTGCGTTGATTCATCTTGACGATATTGGCAGTAGAGTTATTGGAATGGAGGGATGTGTCTGTCCCTGAACTGTTTGCAGTCTGATATGTTAGCATAATCCTGCATGGATTTTGGTTTATATCAATATACCAGGCTGTAAATTGTGGCAGCTGAGGTGTCTGATTCATAATTGCTTTTGTATTTAGCTGCAGCTGTGGAACTGTAACATCTGTATCCAACAAGAATCATCAGCCACTCTTGGCTTAGATAAATATGGAATTTGTCAACTTTACTAGTGGTGAGGGGTTGTAATCCTCAAGTCAGCAAAGGAGTATTTGGGACAAAGTATTGACAATTTGGAAGGAAGTGAAAATTCTGTCACTAATTTCAGCTAAATCTCTCTTCACCCAGTAATTGTGACATGTATAAATAGAATGAGGGCTTTCAGATGAGAAATTGTTTGCTGTGACGTATTTTTTTTATACATAGCAATAGAGAGATAAAAGTATAAGCACAACTGAAAAGGGTGTTTGAGACAGTGAAGAACAGGAGTGTGGAGGGGAAAATGTTAGGTCTTGAAAAATATGGTAACTCAGCTTCTCTCAGAATCTCCAAGTATCTCTGAATTAGATCTGACAAGGTATATAGCAATCTTCCAAAATCCACTGTGGGAAAAAAATGCAGGAGGATAATACCTGTATTACCTATTCTGAAGAGAATGAGAATGAGGCATATTGTTACTGGATCAGTATGTATTCTTTTTAATCCTATTCATGCGTCAGCCTTTTATTCTTTGATGTGGCTCCAAGTTGTTCTTTCCTGTTTTTTCTAAGTTGTATGTGAGATCTAATATGGGGTTTAAATACATGCTTAATGAAAAAGCTTAAACCAGGCAAGAGAAAACAATGATGGTCACCATGGAATTATCTTAAAACGTGACAAGTTCTGTTTTCCACATTGACATTAACTCATATGAGAAGATGTGATTATGTATTTAGTTAGATACTTTACTCCTTGTATGAAATTTGTGATAGCAATGATATCCTGTATGATGTTGGGCTTCATCTCGACTACCAGATATACAGGTGCTTTTGGTGGGAAGCTACTGTTATAATTTATAAATCCATGGTAAAAAGATTTAGAAGGCACTAAGCAACCTTTCAGCTACTCTCTGCTTTGGGTGACTGCTGGGAAAAATAGTCATCCAGCCCAAGAACACTCTTGTTATTTTTTCACAAGAATTAGAACACTTACCTTCTTTAGCTGATAACTGCTAATTTTTATTTTTAACTGTAAATACAGATATTACAAGCAGTTCTTAAGGATGCAGACTTGTAAGCCCCAGGTTTTTATTTTCTTCTTTGCCTTTTCATCTCCTACAGTGCTGGCCGTGGGCTATATGGAATTGATAGCATGCCAGATCTGCGTAGAAAGAAATCTTTTCCCATTGTTCGAGATGTGGTAAGTGACTTCTGATGCTTTGAAACTTGATTCATTTCTCAGCTGTCTAGATCGGTCTTGTAATTACTATGGTGCATGTGAATTAGTTTGTCAACAATTATTTTATGGAAAAAAGGTATCTTGAGAGAATGGATTGAGGCCAGAAAAAGTCCATTATTTGTGATTTATAATTTACTATATAAGTCTGAATATCTTATTGAATATTTAGATATTACTTGTGGAATCAAGTAATGTGTATTTCATGCAATAATAAACAACTAATTTTTGTGTTGAATTAGCTTACGAGGATACCTGTTATTGAGTGCCTGGGGTACCGATTGACTTGATTTATTATGATACTGAAAGAGGAAGAAAGTTCCTTTTAAACAGGAGCCCTGTTTCAGTATGAATGTTTTAAAGATTTATGCATACTTTTGGTACAAGATGATGAGGTATTTTATTTTACCAGTCATTGTAGACAATAATAATCTAGGCAAATAGATTTCAGAAACATGAGAAGAAGGGCAGTTCCTTTGAGATTTATTCTGACTTCCAGTCTAAACAAGATTAAGTAGAATCTCTCTGTTCTGAAGGATTTTAAGTGCAATTCGCATTTCTCTTTTTTGTTTTCTGAAGTATAGAATTCATAATTCAATCAAATACATATTTAGTCTCTGGTGGTGGTGAGCCCCCAAACCAATTTCTCATTGTAAAGAAGGGGAGTCGGACAAAGTGAATGATTACTATGCTTGTCTTTGAAAGATCAGTCTTTGCCAAATTATTGCTCAATGTATTCTCAGCTACTGTATTCAGTCACTCTACCACACTATCTGAAGGGTCACAAAGAGAAGGCAAAACAACCATTTTAGAGTAGAATTCCTTCTGATATCAATGAAAAGTTGCAATTTATGGCATAGTAAAGCCTCCATTCATTTAAACCATATTTTTGGAAGTAGCCACTCTGCTGTAAGTTATATTACACATGGGTATAATTTACAGCCATCTCATGATACTTTTATGCGTATTAAATAGCACTTTGCTTTAGTCTTTGTTGGAACTGTTTACAGACAGGTATTGCTCACAACAGGCTAATACATTAGAATCTTAACTATTCACTTTGAAAAATATAATAATTGTCAAAGTGAAACAAAAAAGAAAATTCACATTTTGAATGGTGGAATAAAACTTTCATATTATTATTGTAATGCGTCAGTGATTAGTGTGTAATGATTACTACTTTGTTGTCCAGTCGTTGAAGGGTAACTCTGCTTGAAGGAATTCTACCTGTAATAAGTGAAAGTTTCAGAGTTTTAAAACTGAAATTTTTTTCTGGAATTTAAACAATACGGACTTATAGTATAGCTCTTAACGGTATGTTCCTTAGCTAAATACTTCTTTAAAATAGTAGATTATATTGCAATTTGGTTCTGCAGCTGTAAACCTAAAACAATTTTACCATCTTAAGAGGAACTTATTTCAGACTTAGTGTAGGTCATCCCCGTCTTTGAAAGATTACTTGTGTTTGAAGATATGTGAATTATAAACAATCTTCTGTGAGCTCTGAGTTTGTAATAGGTCGATTCCAAAATACCTCATTTAAATCAGAACGTTAATTCCCAAGTCCTTCTAAGATCTGATATGTTGTAAATGGTCTTTTTTATGTTTACTTACATGACAGTTTCAGAAATATAGAAATACTATTGCTAAAAATGAGTGCTAGACTCTTTTGACACTGACTGAAATAGATATCTTTATCTTTTTATGTTGCAATAAACCTGACAAATTATTAATATTCTTTATAATTTCTTTCCTCTCTTGGATGGATTTTTCAGGCTATGGTAAGTGCTTTTATACTGATAAATGTTCTAAAATGTTCTCTTATGGATTTTATGAATGTCATACTTTATGCTGACGTTTTATTGGAAAAAAGAAAAACTATTTTATGACCAAAAATTAATCCTAATTGAAGTTGTGCCTTATATGAATGTCTTGTCCTCTGCATCGTATATGCCAAATGTATTAGAAAAAGTTTATGTTAAAAAGTTATCTATGTGTTCCAAATATCCTTTATAATGATCCAAGCAGATTGTTTAGAACCCAACCATGATGCTTCCCCTGTGGAACTGAGCAGCTTTAGGTGCCTAAATAAAGAGAAGTTGAAAAGTGTTGCATACTTTTAAATCCTCTTGTATCACTCAGCTAAATTCTTTGATCTGTCTTTTAAAACGTGAATTTCCTAAAGGAAATAAAGACTCTTAGGTACTATGGTGTAACTTTTTCTAATAACTAAATTAATGACTCATGGAAATATTTTCTTTTTCTGCCAACTTTGGCACTTGTAAAGGTCCCTCCTTGCTTTCCTAGTCCCATTGCACTTCCATTTTCATGTTTTCAGCATTGGTATCTCAATATAAGGTTTATTAAAGTGAGATACATCTTCTTAAGATGATAACTTTGACTCCCATTTGTTTCCATAACTTCACATTTTGAAAAATCCAATTTTCAACAGCAGACTTACTAGTTATCTTTCTTCTAAATCTCCAAGATAATATTTTCAGCTAGTGCATTGGGACTCTCTGCTTTCCCTGCTTATTTTGGATTGAGTCATTAGAGAGGATAAGGCAGTCAAAATCCATCTGCAGGAACAGTTCTTTTTGCTGCAGTTAGGAGTTTCACTGCAGGTCATTATTAGAGTTCTAGTAGAATACATCTGTATAGGAGGGAAAGACAATGAAAGGAGAAGTGCTCATTCAAGTGGAGTAACAGTAGAGAGCTGTTCAAACAATAGAGAGAGCTTCAACAGACCTCTGTTTAATGTGGAGCCAGAAAAAAGAATCAAGCGCACTTGCCAATGTAATCGCTCTAACTTCTACTTTTAAAGAAACATATTCTCTCTTTTGTGCTGGTTAGAGCTTTTATGTGAGGTGGGACTACAACCAGGGAGAGGAGTAGCAAAATTACAGTGAAGGTTAGAAGTACTTACCTCACGGTGGCCCAATAGGTATGATCTGCCCAGTCATAAAAAAAGGTAGCTAGCTCTATTTTTCTTTCTCACTGTGCTTTAGTCTTTGCTTCTGTTAATGCAAGTCACCATTTTGAATGTTATGAAAACTCTGTTAAAATCCTGTTTTCATTTGATTTAAATGTGGCTTTATACTGTACAATGACTTTAATCAGGCAAATTTCAAAAATGTATTATTACTTAGCTTTACTGATTATACAGACACAAGAATAGTTTGTGAATCCTTGCTGCTGTTGTAAAGCAGAGTGCTTGGTTCATACTCTTGGAGTCAACACACCTGATGAAACAACTGCCCATTTCAGCTAAAACACTAATCCATTGATACTTCTTTTTGTGTAAATGTCTCCACAACAAAAACATTTATAGAGTTTAGAATTCAATTATGGTAGTTTGAACTCTTTAGACAGAAGACACTCATATAAGTTGTAGCTGCCACGTTCTCAGTTTTTGTACATTGTCAGAGTGATCATTAGATAAAAGCTAAATATCTGGACTACTTTACATTAAATCTGCTATTTGCAGTCCATTTTCTTAACTCCTTTGATCATTAATAGACAAATTGGATTAAATGTTTTAATATTCATACATTAAATAGATAAATCATAAAAATAATCAAACAGTATTTTTATATTTATGATTGGTTTTACTAAATAGAAATCGTAAAAATATGATTGCATTCCTATATTTCACACCTGTGTGTTCCAGGAATTAAGAATTAGTTGTGGGGAAATTAAGAAATTATTGATGAACTTGTTTGGTTTTGTTGTTTTCCATGCCATTTCTGTCTAAACTTAATATTCAGAATGATCTTAGAGGCTAGGTCAGGCATGCTCTCGTGTCTGTGCTATGAAAACAAATATGAAGAAGCAGTGAATGATATTACGGTGGTGTCCAGTAATGATTGTGTAGTTAAGCTGAGTTGCCATTTCCTTTCTAAATCTGTTATCTGGGATTAATACTGCAGTTCTGTTGAACATTTCAGGATCAGACATCAACTTTTTTAATAGAAGAATTATGGGATGGGGGTGAGTAGTTTCAGACAGTAACTTGTTTCCTTTCAAGGGATTTCTTCCTCCTTCCTGTCCCCCTCACCCTCCAAAGTAGCAGAGCACAAATCTGTCTTTCAAAATAATAAAGTCAAGATCCCTAGAGTGATAAATTACCTGTAGTTACTCAAAAAGAAACAGTTCTGAAATTGTGCAGCTTTTAAATGCTGAAGACAGTATTTTTTTGTCATATTCACCTCTAGTGGGTAACTTTTACATTGCCTTAAAAATATAACAGTATTTGTAAATTGGTAACGACAATTTTGTTGTCAGCTTTTTTTTTTTTTTTTCCTGGTGATAGAAGTCTATAGATTCTTTTAAAGAAAAATATCATGAAGGAAAAGATGATGAGGTAAACAGAAGCCTTCTGTAAAAACAGAGGAATGAGTGTTGCATGGCACAACTGGCATTCATGAACAGTCGCAGAATGTTAGCACAAGTGCTTCTTCCTCCCTGCTACTTTAACTGCTCAAAACACAGCTTTCCTTTATTTCATCAGGGCAGGTGGCTCTCTTTTCACACACACAGTTTTTCTTTTAACATTTAATTGTAGCCTGAGTCTAATTTTCTTTTACTTACGGTTGCCATTTTCCAATGTTTTTGCTACAATGACTTCTAATTATACTCATTTATTTATTTAAGCTGCTAAGGCAAATTTGGAGGTAATACATAAGATAGTGTAGATCGAAGTCATCAAGGGGTCTATAAAGACTTGAGCACAAGGGAAACTAAGTTATTTTAAATCCTGTATTAGGGATTTGGAAAAATACTTAAAATTTAGATAGATGATGTTCTGCTTTATAATCTTTTTTCTTTATTTTTTTAATAAATTTGTCTGGGTGTTCATGATTCCATAGTACATACATGGAGATCTTTACACTCTGCAGGACAAATTCTCATATAAGGAAAGACATGAAGTAGTATCTGATCATCAGTTTGAGAGGGTAAGAAAAGGTAAACTGATGAACAAGTCTTGTGTCCTGTTAAAGGAGAGCAGAGAAAGGCTTCAGGTTCCTGTTGCTCACCCTATTCTTTTGATGCTCTGGAAATTTGGCCTTCCTTGCTGGAGGCTCCAGATTATTAGCTGTACTTATATTTAGCCTTGGTGCTATTTAAAAACAGAAGGGCAGTAGGGGGAAAAGTTTTATTGTACATTCATAACTTGTCACCTTGTTTCCCATAAATGAGTCTGGCAGCATTTTTCCCTTCCGCTTTCCAAAATACTCCTCCTTGCTTCATTAAATCCTTAAGAACAGACGTTGCTCTGTGTTTGTTCAGTGCTTCAAGCTGTTGAATTATCACCAACTACAGTATTACAGAACAGAAACATTTTATTTATGGGTTTTCCCTTGAAAATGCAGCTTATTCTGACAGTGATACATAAATGGAAATAATCCTTGTGAGTTTTTTCACTAAAATCCCTGTAATTTTAATCCATAATGACTGTTAACTTTACTGGTTTACACTGATTTTCACAAATCCCTCGAGATATAACTTTATTATCTTTCTAACATGACAAACACTTATATTAACAACAGCCTAATTATGTGTTTCCTATTAGGCTTTGTTATTTTATATAGGACACTACTATGATTTTAGGCACAACTCTGATTAAGGAGCAAAATGTTTAAAGTACATGATTCCAGGAGTAGCCCTTGGGAGAACTGGGCCTCAAGGACATGTGACAGAGTCAAAATTGCTTCCCTGCTTTCCTTTTTCTCACAGGAAGCAGTATCTGTTGATTGGCTTACACTGATAGCATGAAACTGCAGTTCTCCTGCTGGCTCACATGCTTTGACAACTTGCTGTGGGACAGAACACAGTATCATTCACTACCCTGTATTCGAGGTTAAGGTTGTTATGTCCTTTGTATTTCTGCCTTGACAAGCAGTCCACATTACTCTACAGCCTGGAATTGCTAGGACTTTAGACCTAAAAGGATCAAATCACTTTCTAAGTATAAGGGACATGAAGATGAGAGGTCAAAACTATACAAATAACGTACTGTGGGCAAGTAAATGTAAACGGCTGCTTTCCAAGACTTTGAGAAGAAATCTGTGCAAATGAAAATTGTTTCATTTCTTGTTAATGCTCCCAACACATTTTTGCTTGCCATTTCTCACTTTGACACGCGAGTCTTGTAGCATTAGGTTTTGTCACAAGAAGTTTGAAAACACAAAGCCTGGGCTCTGTTCAATCTTTTCTGTCACTTTGTCAATCTCACTGGCACACACCAATGGAATTTCCCATGTTCACAGAAATAGACGGAAAAGATGATCACAGAGAATCAAACAGAATTATTTATTTATTAGTAACAGAGTGGGAAAACTGATAGCAAATTAATGGCATAGGTTTGGTAAACTGCTGAGTTTAAAAAAAAAAGGGGGGGGGGGATTGGAGGATTCTTTTTATCCCATATTAACTGTAATAGGACAGTGATGAATCAGATCAAATATTTCTGTGCCAAGGATGACTTCTTACCTTGTAATTGGTTTCACAAGATTAATAATTTTGTGTCTATCTGCATGTTTAATTATTATCAAGGGAAACTTATGAAAATTGAACAGGTATATTCTCAGGGGAAAGTAAATATTTTAAATTAACAGTCTTAATATCTCTACTTTAAAAAAAATCAGTTTTAATTGTGTCGGTATTTAAAATTATAAAATGGGAAGAAATTAGAATTGTCTCTCCATTCAAATTTAATGATGCAGGTCCTCTGCTGATGTAAGCCTAAATAAATTGTTTCTGACCCAATATGTATTTCACAAAAGTAAGAACATCATATGCAAAATATCACTGAAACTTTTGCTGTAATAGCTCTATAATGGTGGACTACAGAAGACCCAATTCACCACAAGGTGAAAAACTGTATCCTCACAACAAAGGCAACAACAGACTTACGGTTAGTGGGTGGTATAATTGATCATCCTCACACTGCTAGACTAGGGCAGCAATGTATGACAAAGCAGATGCTGGATTAGGGAAGAACGGAGATAAAGCACAAGTACACAGGCACACTTGGAATGATTTAGAATAAGGGGAAAGATACATGAGCCCAATTTTTCAGGTAAAATGCAGTAATATAGCTGTGTTATGGTTAATATTTTGTACAGTGGAATAAATCTTATCTGTTTCTATCAGGTCAAAAGGAGTAGTGATAGCAGAAGTGATATTCAGAGTTGAAATATTATTTGAAAACACACAGAACTTGTTTCCCAAGGGTCTTTTTCCTCCTGATCATTATACTCTCTAATTAATTTTCAAGGACCCATTTAATTTACAGGGATATTGCAGTAAAGAGGATAAAATTTCCTTGTTTATTGTATATTAAAAATACTTTACTTTGAGTGTCTTTGTATGTATTATACTAGAGCAAGTGAGATTGTGTCTGCAACCAAGGCTGTAGTCTTCAGAACTGGGAAGTGTTCATATAGACCACATCATGAGGGCAAAGGCGGACAGGTTGAGACAGAGTTCGACATTTTTCTCCCTCCAAGAACCAGAGTATTTCTCCATATAGCTATTCATAGTATTGAATGAATATTGTCTTTAAGGAAAAAAAATACTTTTAAGTTTTCCAGAGACTTTTTGTTTAATTCAAGTATCATTTTATATACATACACACAGTTTAAAAATGCTCAGTGAGTTACGAAAAATTACCCGGACTGACAACTTGAACTGTAAGACTATTGCAAAATGATTTCCCATGTTGCTGCAGGCACAGACAGCTTCCAAATTAGGGCAGGATGCCTATCCTTGTACCACATTAATTTGGTTGGTAAAGCTGAAAAACAATGACAGCCTGTGGTTTAAAAAAACCTGAGTCATAAACCTCTAAATAAGAGGCTTTATATTAGAAATGGCAGCTCAGCTAGGCACTGCTGAAAGAACAGTAATGATGATGGAAAGTGTGCTTGCATTGTGTACTGAAAGCTTAAAAGTTGTGTGCTGCAAACATTAACTAAAAGTTTTTGTAACTCCTACGGTTTTGCTTAAATCCAAAAGTGTAATCAAGTATTACTTGCCTTTCATTGGATTCAACAATTGGAATTATTAGTATAATTTTTAACAGTTTTGCATTTGCTTTGAACAGACGCTTGCAGCTCGGAAGTCTGGTATTTCCATGGCCATGCTCATCCGGACCTCTGTGAACAATGATGAAATGGTAAGTGTTTCCGATGACAGGTTTAAGTAGTTTGAATAACAGGAAAGTTTGTGTTCAAAGCTCTTTAGAAATTATTTCAGCCTTAGACACTCCAAACTGGATAAAACTGAGTGTATAAGCATTCCATGTATTGCGTAGGAACTTTCAGAGATCTTGAGCAGAATTTGCTGCCAGCTCCAAGTGACAAGACCAGGTTTGCTTCTCCATGACAGTCAGAAGAGACTATGCAAGAAAACCTTGTTTTACAGTTAGTTACTTGGAGAAACCTTCTATTTTAAATCATCCAGCTGCACCATGCTTTACCTGCAGTCTTTCAGCATCATTTTCTCTTCATCACACCATGAGTACAGTTAGAACAAGAGCACTCTGCAAGAAGGTTTCTGTGTGATTTCCTGCCCACCGCCCTCCCCTCCCTCCCTGCCCCCACAGTCCATATGGGTGGCTGGGACATTATTTGATTTTGTAAATGTAACTCCAGCTAATAACACATGATTCTAGATGAAGAAATATTTAATTTGTACAAGAGGTGACAAGGAAAATATTCTGAAAAATCATATTCTCATATCTAGTTAACCCTGTGTGTTGTGGTTTTCCTTTCTTGACTTCACTTCCATTTTGCTAAAGAAATCTATTTTAAACAAAAACACAATAGGTGCCATTTTCTTCAGGACTAAAGTGTGATGCAAGCAGATTGATACGGCTGAATTAAGCAAAAGCACTAATTTGAAGAACTAAAGGCCCCTTTTGTGTTCCTTGAATTGCTAGTGCAAACATAGCCTTCTAGAATATATCCTACTTTGAAAGAAATGGTGTTGAATTTTTCTGACACTGTTGTTAAGCTCCACTGTAGAAGAATGGAAGAGCAGAAAATGTTGACAGATATTCTGGGAACTGAAACCCACAGCACAAGTAAACACTGATCCATCACTTTTCTCTGATTTGTTGTGAATTGTCTAGGCTTATATGGTAATCATAAAGGAACAATTTGGTAGTGCACAGGGATGGATTGATGAGGTAGGAAACAGCTGGTGTTTGAAATGTCTTTTAGTAAAAGCAGTAGTTGTTTTGTTCTGCTATCTCAAAATAGGAACAAAGGTTGATAGAATGAAGAACTACAGAATCTTAAAAAGGTGTTAAAGGCTGAGGGAAGGTTATTGAGAACAGACTTACGCCATGTAATTGGTGCAAAATAAAGACTTTTTCCATCTATGTTATAGCTGCTACAAAAATATCTATATTCAGTAAAGGACCATAAGATACTCCATATGCTTTACTAAAAGGTGTCTACTAAACAAACAAATAAAAACATTTATAAGTATTATTACCTTTTATGACAATAAATACAGGTTCAACTATGCCTTCCCTCATGCAAAAGCCACCAGACTGTGACTTTGGAGGGCTAAAGGTACACGTTTTGGAGATAATATTAATTGTCAACAAATGCAGGACAAGAAATAATAATATAGACTGCACTTAGAATTTCTGATTTAGGTGGTACTGTTCAGGAGGAATAAAGAAGGTAGCAAATCCCAGTGGACAGCTTAATGCAAACCTTTCTCCAGTGTTCGCTGTTAATGAGAACCTAATGAACTATGGTTCAGGAGAAATGGAAAGGGAAATATGTGGAATGTATTTTTGCGCCATTACTCTTTGGCCTCTGTTTGAACAAGGCCACATGAAAAATTGAGTACCAGAAACAGATATTTCTTAAGAAATCTTTAAATAAAAACATAAGTCCAAAGGCAGACAACAAATATAATTTAGATACATTAAAGTTCATTGGATGAGAAAACGTAAAAAGCTAATTCAGAGAAGAGGTGAATTGAGAGAAGGCTATCTTCTGCTAGCCCTCACTAAACATACTAACAGGGAGTGAGTACTCTTCTGAGGATAAATGTAACGGTACAGCCAGTAAAACCACTTGCAAGATATTTAAAACAAGTGAAAGGTAATACTTTTCTACTTGGTCCGTAAGTAACCAGCAGAACTTAATGCCCTAAAGCATCATCAAAACTGAGTAAAGTAAGATTTGAAAACAAAAAGAACAGACATTTTCAGGTGTAAAAGAACTCTACAGATACTCTCCACAAAATCAGATGAAAACATGCAGTCACCAGTGAGAGTTAAGGAGGAAAATCCCCTTTGAGCATGTTATTCCTCTGATTAAGGCTTTTCTGGTTTTTACTCTCCCTCAACTTTTTCTGGAGGGAATGTTAGTGACTCTGATGGAAGCAGGTTATTTGTCTGACTACATTCAGTATGGAAATTCTTTGAACTAATTCCTTTTATTAAAATCAAATGCCATTTACTCCAGAAATTAATACCTGAGGTCAAATGCTTTAAGCTTTGCCACTCAACATTGCTATCCTTCCAGTATAACACATTCATGACCCAGTGAGTTTGTGTGTTCCCAAGCACTGATCCAAAGACATTTGAAGCAGTGTCGAAGTATTAAATTCATTGACACTTAAATGTATGCTTACACTTGAGCATTCTTTTAATTGTTTTTCTGAACAAAGAGAGCTGCAGGTTTGTGAAAATAACACATCAATAGTAGTATATGACAGAAATAAACTTTGCTTTGGAGGATAAGCAGATAACTAAATAATCCTAGTATATATTAGCTGTGCTAAATATTGCCATGCCCGGAGCTCAGTGAATGCATGTAATACATAATTTAAACAGAGAAATGTATTAGGAATTAAAGCCTCTAGACAGTAAGATAAATAAAATTCTCCTTTACAATTGTAGTTTGCTTTATTAATAACAGGGCAAAGATCATATTCATCAGCAAATCTACAAATTGTGTCTTTCAGATGACAACTTCATTTGCACTCAGATGTTTATTTCAAGGCCTGTTGAGCTGTGCCATTTCATTACTTGCTGCCATTTCAGAAATAGATAAAAGTCACTGGCAGTTTTGAAATTATTTATAGTGTGAAAAACCTGTGAAACTGAACAGGTAAAAGGGCAGGATTTGTACTGATTCTGCTAGAGTGTGAAAGCGTAACCTGCAAAGGAATCCTCAAAGACCTAGTGGTTTCTGAGAAACACGGTTCCTCAACTAGCTGCATAAATTCACTTTAGGTTGTTTTTGAAGTTTTTTTTTCTGATCCCTGTAGCTGGTAAGCTGTGACATGGGAGACAGAGGGTGGAGAAATGCACAAAGATGAAGTTTGCCAAGTTAGGTGGCCATGACTAGCCCAGTCCCTCTTAGGGTCTGCCAAATCAAACCAGTGCAGACCTACCTTTGCTTGCTTTCAGGGAAGTTACTAGATGGCTAATTGTCTAGGGTAGGCTAAGAAAGCACCTTGGAGAGCAATTCCATGTTTGGTTTAGTCAT